GACAGCCTTTTCCTGCTTATCTGAAGCAATTAATCCAAGAAATTCAGAAAAAAAGGGTAGATGATGGCCTTTATACACGCAAAGAAAACGAGTTCTGCAATAATTCAGGCCTTCTCTGTGCTCACCAGCTGTTCACAGCTTCATTCCTCTTGCATGAAAAGATACGGATAGAAATTAGCCTAAGGGGAAGCAGTGGACATTGGCACAGCGAGAAAAGTGTGAACTCAATTTTACAAGGTGTTTCCTCAAAATGGAAGACTACGATGACTTTAAAAAACTTGTCCCTTCTAATTTTCGGTAAAGAAGTTGGCTGTCTGTTTTATCCCGGATTATATCAGAGCCTTCGAGAAGATAACTGGCTAGCTTTCAATCACTACTGAACAGTGGCAGTAGCACGCTAACGACCAGTCAAAGCAATAACACTCCCAAAAAAGAGGGCTTTCAAATCCGTAGCCTCTCTGAGACTTTTTAGGTCTAAAAACCTTGGGACATATTAGCAATTCAAGTAGGTAGGTTCATTAGGTGATGTTAGGGTTAAATTGAGACAAACCCCTTACTTTTTATTCATAAAATGTTGCTGTAAAACTGGATATATATACATACATAAATAAATGATGAATACACACAAATGTTCTATAAGGTCATCTACCAACAACAGGAGTCAGTAGGGCTTAATGCTCCTTATTCTCAGACTTTGAACTATATAAAATTACCTTAGACGTTCTTAGCTCTCAAGCATGGAAAAGTAGAAATAATTTCTATTTTTTGGAATAAAAACTAGTAAATCTATCTTTAGAAATTTGGTAAATGAAGGAATTCGATGATAAAATATATTTCCCTTCTTTGAGTTGTTTCTACTTTTAAATACTATAAATAATAATATATACAATTCTGATTACTGCTTTCAATTATTACTCATCTCAAACAAAAGCACTGGAGTTTTTTTTGCTCTAACGACATCGTTTGACCAAAGTGCTTTTTGGAAGCTAAAAAAAATGAGAAAAAGGTGCCGAATGCGTCATGCAGATGTAATGAAGCTTGAAAAAGGGGCAAAGGTGCCCCAAATTCTGTTGGCAAAGTTTCCTGATTACTTTGACATCATCCCAGTCCAGTAGATACAAAGCTATAATAGTAAGT